TTTTCAAAAACGTGCAGTTACCCAATTGTTTATGGCAGTTATGGTAACACCTTCATTGTGGCTACACTAGTGTATAGTGTAGGGAGGTGTTGCTGCACTATTGTATAGTGTAGCGAGGTGTTGCTGCACTATTGTATAGTGTAGCGAGGTGTTGCTGCACTATTGTATAGTGTAGCGAGGTGTTGCTGCACTATTGTATAGTGTAGCGAGGTGTTGCTGCACAATTGTATAGTGTAGCGAGGTGTTGCTGCACTATTGTATAGTGAAGCGAGGTGTTATGGCAACACCCACAGTGTGTGGTTACACTATTATATATGATAGTTACGTTATGGCAACACCCACAGTGTGAGGTTACACTATTATATATGATAGTTACGTTATGGCAACACCCACAGTGTGAGGTTACACTATTATATATGATAGTTACGTTATGGCAACACCCAAAGTGTGAGGTTACACTATTATATATGATAGTTACGTTATGGCAACACCCACAGTGTGAGGTTACACTATTATATATGATAGTTACGTTATGGCAACACCCAAAGTGTGAGGTTACACTATTATATATGATAGTTACGTTATGGCAACACCCAAAGTGTGAGGTTACATTATTATATATGATAGTTACGTTATGGCAACACCCACAGTGTGAGGTTACACTATTATATATGATCGTTACGTTATGGCAACACCCAAAGTGTGAGGTTACACTATTACATATGATAGTTACGTTATGGCAACACCCACAGTGTGAGGTTACACTATTATATATGATAGTTACGTTATGGCAACACCCACAGCGTGAGGTTACACTATTATATATGATAGTTACGTTATGGCAACACCCAAAGTGTGAGGTTACACTATTATATATGATAGTTACGTTATGGCAACACCCACAGTGTGAGGTTACACTATTATATATGATAGTTACGTTATGGCAACACCCACAGTGTGAGGTTACACTATTATATATGATAGTTACGTTATGGCAACACCCACAGTGTGAGGTTACACTATTATATATCATAGTTACGTTATGGCAACAGCCACAGTGTGAGGTTACACTATTATATATGATAGTTACGTTATGGCAACACCCACAGTGTGAGGTTACACTATTATATATGATAGTTACGTTATGGCAACAGCCAAAGTGTGAGGTTACACTATTATATATGATAGTTACGTTATGGCAACACCCACATTGTGAGGCTACACTATTATATATGATAGTTACGTTATGGCAACACCCACAATGTGAGGTTACACTATTATATATGATAGTTACGATATAGGAACAACATTCCATACAGGATGAGTCAAATACCACAAGTTATGGAATGTGTCAACCTGAGTGGGGAGGCTTCGGTAGTGTCAGCCTGAGCTGAGAGACTTCAGCGGTGTCAACCAGAGCTGGGAGACTTCAGTAGTATCGGCATGAGCTGGGAGACTTCAGTAGTGTTAACCTGAGCTGGGAGACTTCAGTAGTGTCAGCCTGAGCTGGGAAACTTCAATAGTGTTGGCCTGATCTGGGAGACTTCAGTAGTGTCAGCCTGATCTGGGAGACTTCAGTAGTGTCAGCCTGACCTGGGAGGCTTCAGTAGTGTCAGCCAGAGCTGATAGAATTCAGTAGTGTCAGCCTCTCTCTCTCTCTCTCTCTCTCTCTCTCTCTCTCTCTCTCTCTCTCTCTCTCTCTCTCTCTCCTCTCTCTCTCTCTCTCTCTCTCTCTCCTCTCTCTCCCCTCTCTCTCTCTCTCCTCTCTCTCCTCTCTCTCTCTCTTCTCTCTCTCTCTCTCTCTCTCTCTCCCCTCTTTCTCTCCTCTCTCCTCTTTCTCTCTCTCTCTCTCTCTCTCTCCCTCTCTCCCTCTCTCCTCTCTTTTTTTTACACAGGGTTTGACAAGGTTAAGAATCCCAAGCTTTATTGACTAGCTATTTATAGGTTAAGGATTCCTATCTTTATTGACCAGCTAAGAGCTGTTACCTATATCAGCTCATTTGAAAGCATTTTTATTGTTATGAGACATACAAGTAGGGAACAGGATGAAGTTGGAGCCATCTGTGGTCCAGCATTTTCATTTGATCAACTGACTTTTTCTCGTTGACATCATTATGCTGTACGAATGTGTTCCATACTCGAGTCATCCTGGGTATGTATGATCTCAGATGGAGTGATGTTCTGGAGAAGGGTACAGCCAGAGTGAAGTTGCTGCTTTCTGCCCGTCTTGTGGCATAAAAGCTTGTTTCACGCTGTCATCGAAGTGGATCCAAGTGTGGTATTTTGACAATATTGGCCTTGTACATAACAGTAAGGCCACCCACATCCCTCCTATGTTGAAGGCTCTCTCTCTCTCTCTCTCTCTCTCTCTCTCTCTCTATATATATATATATATATATATATATATATATATATATATATATATATATATATATATATATCTCAAACATTCTACTCTTGTAAAGCAACAAGCAGAAGGAAAAAAAGCGAGAAGAGAGAAGGAGAGAGACAAGGAAAAGGAAGATGACAAACAATTATTAGAAATTTCAACAGGAGAGAGCAGAAGGTTGTAGAGAGAAGAAAGACCAGACTGGAGAGTAAAGTGAAGGAGCTGGAGGAGAAGTGAAGGAGGGACAGATAGATGGAGTGGCTGGGAGGGGAAAGGGAGATAAGAAAGGATGAGAAGGGAGGCAGAGGGAGGGGAAAGGGAGGTAGAGTGGAAAGGAAAGAGAGGGAGGGAGTCGGAAAACTAGCCTTGCTCCCCACGGAAGTGTTGATATCCTGCTGGTTTTCGACACGGGAAATGAGTCGAGCGCCTCGGGTACTTCTAGGGAAAAGTTTAGGTACGCAATTTATATGCAAAATAATCACTGTGAGAAGTGAATACAATCCAGCAAGCGTCTTCAACCGGTTTAGGTCGACAGTTACATGAACCGGTTTAGATATTTTAGCGATTAAGTTACTCTCCTGTAATAGATGACAATTTGTTTCCCAGAGATATTGTGATGTTATATACATTAATAACATGGTTAAGGAGCTATCATGGTATCTTAGCTAACTGAAAGACCTAGTTCTGTCTAAGGTATAGTACTACCCTCTAAGTCAGTGGTTCCCAAACTGGGGGTAAATTACCCCCTGGGGGTAATTTAACCATTTTTGGGGGGTAATGGAGGGGTGACAGAAAAAAAGTTATGAATTCTGAAAATCAAGAAAACAATGCGGTACCCGGTATGAGGATTATTGTTAACTTTGTCTTAGTATATAAAGTTGTAAAGTAAACCTATTATAAGTAAGTAATAAAGTTAAACCAAATAACAATAAACATCAAAAACTAATATACAGTATTAGAAGAGAAGAAATATATAGCTAAGTGTGTGGAAACCCAAAAGTATTTTGACAAGTATGCTTCAGGACAAAAGTCACTCAGTAGCCCAGATCGACCTGTCCAGTATGCGTCACTCACTTCCTGAGGCTGCCTCTATTTCACACTGTCAGTTTATCTGTGAGCATCAGCCGAGGTAGACATAAGCTGGTATGTATGTGTACTGCCCTGTGCAGTATATAGTTAGTATTTACCCACTGTTACTGTGAATTTGTAGCTATTATTAATTTTATATATAATGTATGTGTGGTTCTTACGTTTTCAATGGTTTTGCTAGGATTAGCAGAGTATGCGAGGCTGTATACGTTCACGTTTAGCCATATATACCAATAATAACAACATTTTGTGAAAGGGGTAACATGCTTTATGTGGCATGTTAAATTGGGTAACAAGCTGAAAAAGTTTGGGAACCACTGCTCTAAGTCATCATCCAGAGCTGTTTCCTAACACCCTGGCTAGGCGGTACTATTTACTTAGAAGTGACTATGATCAGCTCGATCGCCAGCGTACTCTGCTCACACATTAGGACGTGTTTCCTTAAGACACCTGCTGCCCAAGTTCACTTAGCAGTAAAATAGGTACCTGTGTGTTAGTCGACCAGTGTGGGTCGCATCCTGGGACAAAATTGACCTAATTTGCCGGAAATGTTCTGCATAACAAGGGGCTTTCTATACAGTAGTATATCATTGATATCAGCTATGGTTTGTATAAGTTGCATCATATACTTGTAGAAATAAAGATTATACTTATATTACATATGTACATTCAGTCTGGACATCGAACCCTGGACTGAAGTAGTCTTTTCATTCATTATAGTCTTGGTGGGGAAAATTGTTTTATTTAATAATTCGTCTCACTGCTGGGAGCTTTTTCAACTCTTTTGTAAAAGCCACGGTGACCCGTGACCTGGTGGTTAAAGCTATCACTTCACACGACGAGGTGTCCGGGTTCGATTCCCGGAGAGGGTAGAAACATAGGGCGTGTTTCCTTACAGTGGTCGTCTATGTTCACCCATCAGTAAAGTGGGTACTTGTGTGTTAGTGGACTGGTGTGGGTCGCATCCTGGTACAAAGCTGATGTAATTTTCCCAAAATGCTCTGCATAACAAGCGGCTTTCTATATAATATGTCGTTGATGTCAACTACGGTCTGTATACCTTGTACATGTCCTTGTAGAAATAAATATAATTATTGTTATTATTATTATTATTATTATTATTATTAGTAGTAGTAGTAGTAGTAGTAGTAGTAGTAGTAGTAGTAGTAGTAGTAGTAGTAGTAGTAGTAGTAGTAGTAGTAGTAGTAGTAGTAGTAGTAGTATCTGTCAATTCATAACCATTCAGATTACCAATAAAAGCCTCTATAATCTATTTCTCTGTCTCTCTCACTCTTTCCTTCCCCTTATTCTTTGTATGAGACGTAAATTAATACACCTAGCAGGTATGTAGCTTTTTAGTAAAGTTTATTATCTACAAAGATCACATCCGGAGTCACGGGGTCCGACACAATGACACACTAACGCAAGTTTCCTATAGATAGTGCTCTTAAAGTCAAGACATAGAGAACGGGTTGTAGCTTGTGAATCAAAGAGCATGTCAGAATGGATTTAATTACATGGGTAACTTATGTAAATTTTTATTTTAATATCAAACCATAAGTTGAGTATTTCAACGCGATTTTTACATAGTAAATTAGGTAGAATTAAGCCTAGGGTAACCCAGTAAAGTCAAGCAATATGACTTTTTCAAACTGGGGTTCCCAGTTGGGCAGAATGGACGTAGAAAACACAAGATTTGGGTTACTTCCAATAGTAAGAGTTTTGGGAGTACGGTCTGTCACTCTGGAACGTCCACCATCTGTAGAGAAAGAGAGAGAGAGAGAAATTTAGGCACACCTCTGATATAACACTGGTAGAATATGCCATTATTATTATTATTATTATTATTATTATTATTATTATTATTATTATTATTATTATTATTATTATTATTATTATTATTATTATTATTATTATTATTACTGAGTGTGGTTCTACTGAGGTTACACGGGATATAAATATACACTAATAGGAATATATATCTCTCGGAGTTTACTTTCAGCCCTATTTTTAGATATGAAAGTATTCTTGACTGGTGGTTAGCAGGTTACATACAGCCTTAATGACTCTAGTGTAGTAGATAGGCTTTAAACCCACTTTAACCAGTTTGTAAAGTGCGTCACCTGCACCTGCTCATTAACTCACCTGCCGGGCTTCACCTTCGTAACGGGGTGATAGACAGTCTTCACACCGAAGTGATCAGCGGAGCTGGAACGATCAGCAACGATGGGTTGGTCAAGTGGGTTGGCGATAGGCTCGTCTAGTGGGCTGGCGACAGGCTGGTCAAGAGGGTTGGCGATAGGTTGGTCGAGTGGGTTGGCGACAGGCTGGTCGAGTGGGCGAGTGGTGGGTCGGAAGATAGGGACCTTCATGGTATGAAACTCGACGGGTCCGTTGGGATACCTCCGGTTCATAATGTTAGCTGAACGAGAGAAAGAAAATGTCGCTTAGAGAGGCAGTAAAGGCCAAAAGTCAGGAGTTAAAGGGAGAAGACTTTCTTCGGATAACCCTGAATAATCCAGGATTACCCAGGATAATCCAGGATAACAGAAAATTAGTGTAGTGATCATATAGGTCCGTCACCGTGTGATGGTACTATAATTCAAAGCTATGTTAGAAATAGTAACAAGGCTTCCATCTTACGACCTGAACTGTCTGCCAGATGTTGATCTCCAGCTTGTGGAAACTACTGCTACTACACACTATAAACACTGCTGACTCTAGCCTTATAGTTTGCTTTAAACAGCCTTGAGATGTGAGTGTAATATGCTTGTGTATGAACCAAGACACAGGGAAGCACAAATTACTGAGAGAGAGATTTTAATTAAGCGTTTTGGGCTATCAGAAATTTGCGGCACCAGCCCCTGGACTACCTCCCACAGGATGGGTATTAGGTGCATGATAAACATATTAAACTGTTACCCCCCCCCCCCCACTTAGGCCTCCAGGAGGTCGATGGCTACGATAAATTAATGTTAAACAAAGAGAATGTTAAATGCAATTTAAGTTTTTTAAACGTAAGTTTAAAAGGCATTGTTAGAAAAGAACTAGCAAGCGAATTCGAAGTAGAAAAGAACAGGTATTAGGTTACACAAATAACAATGGTCCAAGTCGGACCGAAATATCTTCTGAAGCTCCTCTCTCCTATGTGAGGGTTATTTGTGTATTGTTCCAGTCATGGTATTGTGCCTTTTCGTTCATTCTGAAGAGATAGGAACTAGCAGAACCACTACCTATAATCTGTAGTCAAGTGGTTTTTATAACTTGACGTGCTGTTGGAATGTGATCAAGGTAGCATTTAGTAAGTAAGTAAGTAAGTAAGTTTATTCAGGTAAACACAAATACAGTTACATAGAATTATCATACATAGCAGCATATGTGTAGGGAACCTAGGATAACCCAAAAAAGTCAGACAGAGTGACTTATTTCCATTGGATTCAGGGAACCTGGGTAGCCAGAAGTGAATCCTGAAGGTGGGAAGTACAGAGTGGAGGGAAATCTGAGCTGACTGTGTCACTGGAGAAAATAAAATCAGTAGACTTCAAGACTGTCTCACTACCAGACTTACAGCCTAGCTTACAGTCTAGCCTAAGGCTAGGCTGTAAATATCTCTGGTTGCAGAGTTTGGGCAAATAATGTTAATAACAATGAATTGTGTGGAGAGGAACATTACACCAGTGTGATAGTTCTTCTTGGGGGAGAGGAGAGTTAGTGAAGGGATGGAGGGAGGGAATGGGAGAGAAAGGGAGGGACGGAATATGAAGATGTGGCAGAAGAGAAGGGTGTGGCGATGACGTCGCATTCTGAGAAACTAAGCTAAGATATATATCTTCCGTCTTTAATTCACCTTCATCTTGTTTACTCTTGTGTGATGGAATAAGCAAGAAAATCATCCTGTGTGATGGAATGAGACAAGAAAATCATCTTGTGTGATGGAATGAGACAAGAAAATCATCTTGTGTGATGGAATGATACAAGAAAATCATCTTGTGTGATGGAATGAAACAAGAAAATCTTGTGTGATGGAATGAGACAAGAAAATCATCTTGTGTGATGGAATGAAACAAGAAAATCATCTTGTGTGATGGAATGAGACAAGAAAATCATCTTGTGTGATGGAATGAGACAAGAAAATCATCTTGTGTGATGGAATGAGACAAGAAAATCATCTTGTGTGATGGAATGAGACAAGAAAATCATCTTGTGTGATGGAATGAGACAAGAAAATCATCTTGTGTGATGGAATGAAACAAGAAAATCTTGTGTGATGGAATGAGACAAGAAAATCATCTTGTGTGATGGAATGAAACAAGAAAATCATCTTGTGTGATGGAATGAGACAAGAAAATCATCTTGTGTGATGGAATGAGACAAGAAAATCATCTTGTGTGATGGAATGAAACAAGAAAATCTTGTGTGATGGAATGAGACAAGAAAATCATCTTGTGTGATGGAATGAAACAAGAAAATCATCTTGTGTGATGGAATGAGACAAGAAAATCATCTTGTGTGATGGAATGAGACAAGAAAATTATCTTGTGTGATGGAATGAGACAAGAAAATCATCTTGTGTGATGGAATGAAACAAGAAAATCATCTTGTGTGATGGAATGAAACAAGAAAATCATCTTGTGTGATGGAATGAGACAGAAAGGGTCCAGTCCCTGGACCCATTATGTGTCTCTGTAATATTGTGTCTGTGTAATATTTTGACTACCACCCACACCATGGGTATGGTGTTACTACCACCCACACCATGGGTATGGTGTTACTACCACCCACACCATGGGTATGGTGTTACTACCACCCACACCATGGGTATGGTGTTACTACCACCCACACCATGGGTATGGTGTTACTACCACCCACACCATGGGTATGGTGTTACTACCACCCACACCATGGGTATGGGTTACATATTAAATCAACTTCTCTGCACTCTCAGTGAGAACCACAACACTACAGACACAACTTTTTCCTAATACACTCACTAAAAAACAAGAACCACTTAAAAAGGTATTATATCAGTTCTCACCCACACCGAAGACCCCAGCTTCACAGCTGAGGGTGAGAGCTGAGAGCACCAGGATCAAGCTGCTCAAGACTGCCATGGTGCTGGTAGTGAAGGCAAGACTGTGGGAGAGGCTGGTGTAGGAAGTTTATATATACACAGTAGCAGCAGCAGAAGCAGCAGCAGCAGCAGCACTTCCTTCAGGAATCTCCAACCGGATGTGTGAGTCAGGGAGGGCGGCGAGGCGAAGGCATCTCTTAGAAGTACAATGTTTGGGTCCCGTCCTACTGAAGGACCTTTCTCCATCCCTCTCTAACCTGTTGCTCCCTTCCACTGCCTTCCTTTCTCCTTCTCTTGCTTATAGTATTCATATTATTTTATTATTATTATTATTATTATTATTATTATTATTATTATTATTATTATTATTATTATTATTATTATTATTATTATTATTATTATTATTATTATTATCGATACTCTTGTATTACCTGGAGTTTACCTGGAGAGAGTTCCGGGGGTCAACGCCCCCGCGGCCCGGTCTGTGACCAGGCCTCCTTTGTTGTTGAATTTCCTAGAAAACTCTCGTTGGTTTGTATAACAGGAATGGTGTAGTGTGTGTGTATACCTGGAGTATACCTGGAGTATACCTAGAGTATACCTGGAGTATACCTGGAGAGGGTTCTGGGGGTCAACGCCCCCGCGGACCGGTCTGTGACCAGGCCTGGTGGTGGATCAACCACTTGCCTTGCATATTAATAACTAGTTATATTATTATTATTATAATCAAAAAGAAGCGCTAAGCCAATAACTAGTTATAACACTTAATATGGCTGTTATTAGTCAGTTGTTTATTCAAGAAAAGCCTGGTTGATCAGTCCCTGGTCCGCCGCGAGGCCTGGTCACAGACCGGGCCGCGGGGGCGTTGACCCCTGAAAGCCTCTCCAGGTATACTCCGTCACAGAGATTAGGAAACAGATTTGTTACCCAGCATCAGGATGTTTCCCATCGTTTCCACTAAATACATAAGCTACAGGTCATCCACAGTAGTGAAAATAACCTGAGTCAAGCTACAGGTCATCCACAGTAGTGAAAATAACTTGAGTCAAGCTACAGGTCATCCACAGTAGTGAAAATAACCTCAGTCAAGCTACAGGTCATCCACAGTAGTGAAAATAACCTGAGTCAAGCTACAGGTCATCAACAGTAGTGAAAATAACCTGAGTCAAGCTACAGGTCATCCACAGTAGTGAAAATAACCTGAGTCAAGCTACAGGTCATCCACAGTAGTGAAAATAACCTGAGTCAAGCTACAGGTCATCCACAGTAGTGAAAATAACCTGAGTCAAGCTACAGGTCATCCACAGTAGTGAAAATAACCTGAGTCAAGCTACAGGTCATCCACAGTAGTGAAAATAACCTGAGTCAAGCTACAGGTCATCCACAGTAGTGAAAATAACCTGAGTCAAGCTACAGGTCATCCACAGTAGTGAAAATAACCTGAGTCAAGCTACAGGTCATCCACAGTAGTGAAAATAACCTGAGTCAAGCTACAGGTCATCCACAGTAGTGAAAATAACCTGAGTCGTGTTGAGGCGGAAACTGTGTAGCCGCCGTAGCTACCGAACACAGTGCAATGTGTTAGACGTTTGTTGAATTTATTACATGGTCGAATGTTTGATGATATAATGATCGCCCTACTGGAGTCTCCCAGCTCAGACTGACACTTCTGGAGTCTCCCAGCTCAGGCTGACACTTCTGGAGTCTCCCAGCTCAGACTGACACTTCTGGAGTCTCCCAGCTCAGGCTGACACTACTGTAGTCTCCCAGCTCAGACTGACACTTCTGGAGTCTCCCAGCTCAGACTGACACTTCTGGAGTCTCCCAGCTCAGACTGACACTTCTGGAGTCTCCCAGCTCAGACTGACACTTCTGGAGTCTCCCAGCTCAGACTGACACTTCTGGAGTCTCCCAGCTCAGGCTGACACTACTGTAGTCTCCCAGATCAGACTGACACTACTGTAGTCTCCCAGCTCAGGCTGACACTACTGTAGTCTCCCAGCTCAGACTGACACTACTGGAGTCTCCCAGCTCAGACTGACACTTCTGGAGTCTCCCAGCTCAGGCTGACACTACTGTAGTCTCCCAGCTCAGGCTGACACTACTGTAGTCTCCCAGCTCAGACTGACACTTCCGGAGTCTCCCAGCTCAGACTGACACTTCCGGAGTCTCCCAGCTCAGGCTGACACTTCTGGAGTTTCCCAGCTCAGGCTGACACTTCTGGAGTTTCCCAGCTCAGGCTGACACTTCTGGAGTCTCCCAGCTCAGGCTGACACTACTGTAGTCTCCCAGCTCAGACAGACACTTCTGGAGTTTCCCAGCTCAGACTGACACTACTGTAGTCTCCCAGCTCAGGCTGACACAACTGTAGTCTCCCAGCTCAGACCGACACTTCTGGAGTCTCCCAGCTCAGACTGACACTACTGTAGTCTCCCAGCTCAGACTGACACTACTGTAGTCTCCCAGCTCAGACCGACACTTCTGGAGTCTCCCAGCTCAGGCTGACACTACTGTAGTCTCCCAGCTCAGACTGACACTACTGTAGTCTCCCAGCTCAGAGTGACACTACTGTAGTCTCCCAGCTCAGACTGACACTAAAGTAGTCTCCCAGCTCAGGCTGACACTACTGTAGTCTCCCAGATCAAACTGACACTACTGTAGTCTCCCAGCTCAAACTGACACTACTGTAGTCTCCCAGCTCAGACTGACACTATTGTAGTCTCCCAGCTCAGACTGACATTACTGTACTCTCCCAGCTCAGGCTGACACTACTGTAGTCTCCCAGTTCAGCCTGACACTACTCTAGTCTCCCAGCTCAGGCTGACACTACTGTAGTCTCCCAGCTCAGCCTGACACTACTGTAGTCTCCCAGCTCAGACTGACACTATTGTATTTCTCCCAGCTCAGACTGACATTACTGTAGTCTCCCAGCTCAGGCTGACACTACTGTAGTCTCCCAGCTCAGCCTGACACTACTGTAGTCTCCCAGCTCAGACTGACACTACTGTAGTCTCCCAGCTCAGACTGACACTACTGTAGTCTCCCAGCTCAGGCTGACACTACTGTAGTCTCCCAGCTCAGACTGACACTACTGTAGTCTCCCAGCTCAGCCTGACACTACTGTAGTCTCCCAGCTCAGACTGACACTACTGTAGTCTCCCAGCTCAGGCTGACACTACTGTAGTCTCCCAGCTCAGCCTGACACTACTCTAGTCTCCCAGCTCAGACTGACACTACTGTAGTCTCCCAGCTCAGACTGACACTACTGTAGTCTCCCAGCTCAGATTGACACTACTGTAGTCTCCCAGCTCAGACTGACACTACTGTAGTCTCCCAGCTCAGGCTGACACATTTCAATACCTGAAGAATAAAACCATCCTGTGTGACAGAGGTTCACATGAAGATCCTCCTGCCTGACAGGATGTATGGTGATAAAATCATCCTGCCTGACACAGCAGGATGGTTTTATCATCCTTCATCCTGAATAAGTTAGTTGAACAAACATTACCTCAAGCTCTAACATTGTAAAAAATTTCTGAGATCGGGAAAGCCCGGTACGGGTAAACACATTACGACGTGTTTCCGGAAGACACCTGCTGTCCATGTTCATCTAGCAGTAAAATAGGTACCTGGGTGTTAGTGGACTGGTCTGGGTCGCATCCTGGGAAAAAAGTGACCTAATTTGCGGGAAATGCTTAGCATAACAAGTGGCTTTCTATATGGTAGTATGTCATTAAAGTCAGCTATGGTCTGTATACCTTGTGCATGTACTTGTATACCTTGTACATGTACTTGTATACCTTGTGCATGTACTTGTATACCTTGTACATGTACTTGTATACCTTGTGCATGTACTTGTATACCTTGTACATGTACTTGTATACCTTGTACATGTACTTGTATACCTTGTACATGTACTTGTATACCTTGTGCATGAACTTGTATACCTTGTACATGTACTTGTATACCTTGTACATGTACTTGTATACCTTGTACATGTACTTGTATACCTTGTGCATGTACTTGTATACCTTGTACATGTACTTGTATAAATTGTACATGTACTTGTATACCTTGTAAATGTACTTGTATACCTTGTGCATACTTGTATACCTTGTACATGTACTTGTATAAACCCTTTTGCATGTACTTGTATACCTTGTACATGTACTTGTATACCTTGTGCATGTACTTGTATACATTGTACATGTACTTGTATACCTTGTAAATGTACTTGTATACCTTGTACATGTACTTGTATACCTTGTACATGTACGTGTATACCTTGTACATGTACTTGTATACCTTGCACATGTACTTGGGTAACCTTGTACATGTACTTGTATTTCCTTGTACATGTACTTGTATACCTTGTACATGTACTTGTATACCTTGTACATGTACTTGGATACCTTGTACATGTACTTGTATACCTTGTACATGTACGTGTATACCTTGTACATGTACTTGTATACATTGTACATGTACTTGTATACCTTGTACATGTACTTGTATACCTTGTACATGTACTTGGATACCTTGTACATGTACTTGTATACCTTGTACATGTACTTGTATACCTTGTACATGTACGTGTATACCTTGTACATGTACTTGTATACATTGTACATGTACTTGTATACCTTGTACATGTACTTGTATACCTTGTACATGTACTTGGATACCTTGTACATGTACTTGTATACCTTGTACATGTACTTGTATACCTTGTACATGTACTTGTATACCTTGTACATGTACTTGTATACCTTGTAAATGTACTTGTATGCCTTGTGCATGTACTTGTATACCTTGTACATGTACTTGTATACCTTGTACATGTACTTGTATATCTTGTACATGTACTTGTATACCTTGTACATGTACTTGTATACCTTGTAAATGTACTTGTATGCCTTGTGCATGTACTTGTATACCTTGTACATGTACTTGTATACCTTGTACATGTACTTGTATACCTTGTACATGTACTTGTATACCTTGTGAATGTACTTGTATACCTTGTAAATGTACTTCTATACCTTGTGCATGTACTTGTATACCTTGTACATGTACTTGTATACCTTGTACATGTACTTGTATAACTTGTACA